GCAAATGGTGGCTCAGCGCAAACTCAACATTCACTACAATGACTCCAGCAAGTTCACTGCAAAACTCGTGGTCGATTCCAATTGGCCTTTCACAGGGTGCCAAGGAGTGAAGGACGCTCGTGTTATCGCTGGAACCGTGACCTGCTCCTTCGAGCCAAGGGTCCAGGACGTTTCAGACGGCAAGCGCTTCATCTACTACAAGCTTGCTGACGCCGAGCTGCACAAGAAGCTCTCCAAGAGTGTCTTGGCGGCTGCTCACATTGACCTTGCCGTTCTGAACGATCATGCCGAGGTTTACTTTACGAATCCGCAGTCGGTGTCGCTGTTGGCATGGTTGTCTTCGTCGCCAACTTGCCTCGAGTTCAAGCTGAAGGCCTTCGCTGCTGATGTCCACCATGGCCTGGACTTCTTTGACCGCAGTGCCAGCCCCCTATCTGTGACTTGTCAGTCTAGCAGTCCAGACAGACTTCTGACTTCCATTTCCTTTCAGTTCTCTAGGTCGTTCATAATCGCCGGCCAAGGACTTCTGGCTGGCGCACAGGGACTCTGTGCTTGGCGAGCGGAATCGCGAGGTGGCCCACAAGGATGTGATGGCCAAGATCGGCTTCGTTGTTCATAAAGAGATGACTTTGCTGGATGCCCTGAAGGAGAATACGAAAGCCTATTGGATCAGAAGGGCGGCATCTCTCGAAGTCCAAGTCAAAGATGCAGATTTCATGCTGAGGAACGTTACGTGGGAGCTGAAGCGAGCTCGCACTCTGGCAGGCTTGCCGCCAGATACTCCTGTTCCTGGTGTCTTGGCTACTGTCCCGGAAAGTGTCCCTAGTCCGGATGGCGACACGTCCGAAGCTTCCCTCGCAGTCGCGGTCGATACGACAATCACGGTCGATACGGCGGTCGCGGTCGAAACAGCTGTGACTGAGGACAGCTAGAGTCTCACTCTGCTATGCTCCGGCTGAGGACAGCTAGAGTGTCACTTTGCTATATGGCGGTCGCGGTCGAGACAGTTTTGATAAAGGACAGCAAGAGTCTCACTTTGCCAAGATTAGTGTGAGACTGCGAGCCGTCGACACCGTCCGGGAGGGTTGCAAAAAGACGTGCGTGTGTCTGTCTGTGCGTGTTGTTTGCTGGTTTTGCCTTTCTTGCAATGAGATCTGGCTGAACTAGAAGGACCTGCCCAACATGCTTCGAATCCTGGAGAGCATGCCGCAGCCACGCCAAGCTCTCGAGCAAGCTGCCTACAGAAACCAACAGGGGAACGGCAACGACAACATTTTCTCACA